AACTCGCGTTACTTATTTGAAAAAGTAACTCAGATATTCTCCTGTAAATTAAAAAGTAATGCGTACTTTACTAGTTAATTGAAAAAAGTAATCTGATTACATAACTTGCGTTACTTGTAATATATTACCCCCAACACTGGTAATGAAGCAAAATGTCTAACGTTAACTTAAACAGTGACTCTGTCATGGACATGGTTCAAAAAACCAAAACCCGATGGTAAACCACTTACTTCAAATAAGCAATGAGGTAAACAGGACGAGAAGCACCACACCGTCATGTTCTCTTGTTAAGGAAGAGTCAAACATCTAATCTCTGAAACTAATTACCTTACAGGCAAAAAGTTCACCAGGCCTAATGTATAATAGAAAATTTCTATACACGCTCTTCCAGCCTAGGGTGAAGTCATTATGCAATTGGAAAACGATGTGAGTGGCGCCAAAGACTTTAGATATACAGAACAAAGATGGTGCACTATTATTATTTTATGAATGGGAGAGAATCCAACCCACAATATGGCGAAGACCCGCCTTCAAAATAAAAGAGCCAATTACTGCAGCCGCTGTTAGAAACTCAAATAATTGCGAGTTCCCAGTATATACATTTAACCGGAACACTCTCCCAAGTTGGAGTTCTGACTCGAATCTCAACAACTCCAACTTCAGAGTCCAATATGGCTGCTCAGTGCATCAACAGAAGAGAAACACTAATAATATATTGTTTATTAGAACTTGTGTTTGTCTGTGTGTCAGTAAACTCAGTGGTGCACACAGTAGGCCTACTATCCAGCCTCTGTGTGTGGATATGATACTGTGGTGTTATCTGTGCAAAAATACTGAAAGACTTTGGTGGCACATCATGATTTTGAACAGCTCTGTGCTTCTATATTCTATATAATATTAATCAATGTTAATATTCTCTAATATCAACACATCAAAATAAATACTTATTTCTCATGAGGTGAAATTAAATGGACCTTTTTCGCATTTCCGGGTTTCTCAGTAGAGGAAGTCATCGGGTAAACTTCTATAGCGGCAAATGGGAGACTTCATCAAATATATTTTTTTGGTGTTTCCATTTGGTCAAATAGCAAAAGAAAAATGACAAAATAGTGTTTTCATGACTTTTAAAAAAGGGGGGGGG